TTGCGAAAACTAGTTACTTTTAAATTTCTTGTGTTACTTGCCTTGCCATGCCATGCCACAGGCCTCAGTCAAGAATTTTAGATATTCTTGGGCCACAGTAAACAAAATTAAACAACATAACCTAAACTCACACAATATTTTTGTGTTGACATACGCGGGACATTAGACAAGACCAAGACATTCATATATAAACATTCTTCAACGATGAATGTGATAAATAACAGAGATTGTCATTATGTCATTTATTGTCAATAGCGTAGAAGATTGTTAATCGCTTGGTATTTTATAAGCAAAACAAAAGAAGCCAGAAATGATCTTGTGCCGTGAGAGCGTTATTTTAAAAAAGGAATGACCGGAGGCCTATTTTTTTAAAGTACTTTTCAACTTTTCACATTACAAACGTTGAAAAGCGAAGAATAATTCTCTTTTATAAAAAAAATGTACTTTACATAAATGTTATGCGTTTTAAGCTTCAACTATTCATTTTCACTGTACAGATTACCAGCTGTTTTTTGTATATTAATTTTGAAAACATAAAATAGCCAGAAAAGTAAAAAGTTGAAAAGTACTTGCAAAAAACAGGCCCCTAGGCATTTATCATAATTTGGTAATGGAATTGAGATCACATGACACCAATAAGTATTTTAATTACTTGCGAATGACGAAACTGGATGGACTGCACATGCGCAGTTAGTCAAAATTATTGCGATAATCGCCAAAAATACCGTTTCTATTTTCCCGCTCCTTATATTTAAATTATGCGATTCTCGCAATACAGGGTGATTCAGAACTTATCAAAAAAATTCTGGATGTACAGGGGACCCTTACAAATACAATTTTGAAAATAAAAAATCAAAAAGGTCAGTTCGAAATTGATTTAAAAATACACTTCTGCACGGCACTGGAAGCTGGTCCACTGCAAAACCTGACCTCGCACAATGCGACCGGTATGGCGGCGTGATAAAAACGGACAAAAACTTTCGCAAGGAAAGAAATATGTAAATAGAATTTTATCGCACCTATTTTATATCGGCAAATTCAAATGCTTTTGCCTTTATTAATTATTAATAAAATTAATTTGTGTTTTTAAATAATAAAATCATTTGACATACTCGATGCTGCAACAGCAATTGTTCAAAATTTTATCCACTCACATGTAAACACATTTGGGTCCATCTTACTCACTTTCTACGAACTAACACAAATGATGTCTTGCTTCACCATAACACAAATATTATCTTGCTTCACCATAAATTAAAACAATATCCATCAACTCTGAGTTGCTATACACGCAAGCCATTTTTGACACTAACTACTAAAAAACTGATGTAAATACCACAGATAGGTAACAGGTAAAAACTACCGCAACGACGCCGACGGATTTCAGTATTAGGAGTCACATGGTTCTCCACGCGTATTGCGAATGACGCTAGAGACTACAGTTGTCCAGCTATGTAGTGGTTTAATGTGCTATAACTTCAATAATTTTTTTCTCAGAAACTATAAGGATTTTACATAAATTTTTTTACAATATTGACTCCATTTCTCATGCCGCATCTATTCCCAAATTTTTTTGGATAAGTTGTGAATCACCCTGTATATTGAAATGAAGAAATTAATGTCAAAAATATTTTATCTCAACCAATCAAATTGAAATCCACAAATCGCTACTGGATGAACTTACCTTTACTCATTTGCTCGCTAAACACAAAACTAAGCGTCACTGACAGTGCTACCAATACACAAAGAAAGAATCAGCTCTATAGCCAAGATACAACACGCGCAATTTGAAAATTCCCGTTACTTTTTGATCAAACCTCGTATCTCAGAAACGCAATGTTCAGTTGTTTTTTATTTACTTCTTTAATATCAAAAGAACATTTGCTAAAACTTTGGTCTTCACAGTCTTTAAAAAGGAAGTAGAATGATTTAATTTCTTTTGCTTTAATTAAATACAAATTTCAATTTTATATGTATACAAATTTTAAGTTTTTTAGGTATCTATTTAATGGAATGGATATTTCACCTTTTCTAAAATGTATGTTAAGTTTTGACCATATATACAGGGCATTAGTAAATAAGTGCGACAAATTTCAGGGGGTAATTCTACATGAGAAAGTAATGGCAATTTGCTTATAAACGTAAAGTTTTTCTTAAAAACTGACGATTTAATTTATTGTTCTGAAACCGGTCGAGATGTGCAAATGAAATTTGGTGGGTTTTAAGAGGTAGTTATTGCGCATTTTTTGACACGCAATTAAGAATTTTATGTTCATCATTGGCGCGCGTACGGGTAATAATCTCAATTTTTTTAAAGAAAAAAATGGTACGCCACTGAGATATTACAAATTAAAAATCATTTTTGAATTCCTCGTTCAATTTGTGACAAAAAATCTCTCTTGCCTTTTCTTCGTATGGGGCGCCGTTTTGATGCAAAAAAATAAAACATCTTAACGCGTATTTTTTATTTCTTTAATACATTATCAAGAACTATCTAATACAATAACATTAAACCAGAACAATAACAGAAAATAACACTAATAAAATTTTGAAAAGGCGCAAAGCTACAACAAATGTTCAAAATGACCTCCCTCAGACGTGACACAAGATTCAACTCTTCGCCTCATTGATTGTCGTATTCGCGCAAATATTCCTGGTATATTTCTTATTGTCTCACAGCCGACTATAATTCGATTCCTCAGGTCATCAACATTTTCAACGGGAGTGGAATAAACTAATGACTTAAGAAAACCCCAAATGCAAAAATCAAGAGGATTTAAATCCGGCGATCGAGCAGGCCAATGTTCCGTACCTCCCCTACCTATCCAACGATTTGGATATACTGTGTCTAAGTGATTACGTACATTAATGCTAAAATGGGCTGGTGCACCATCATGCATGTACCATAGGTGTTGTCTCAGCTGTAGAGGAATTTCTTCAAGAAGAACAGGTAACTCTTCCTGTAGGAAATTAAGATAAGATTCGCCTGTTAGTCGTTGTGGGAGGAAATATGGACCGATTAAATGATCATCAATTACCCCAAGCCATACATTTACGGAAAACTGATGCTGAAAATGAGCTTCAAAGATTCCATGGGGGTTTTCCTCAGCCCATAAGTGATTGTTATGGAAATTTCGTATACACTGTCGTCCAAAAGTAGCCTCGTCAGTAAACAAAACGGCATTTAAAAAATTAGGAATTTGAGCGATTTGATGATTAATCCATTGGCAAAAAAATAGGCGCGGAAAAAAGTCTCTAGGTAGTAGAGCTTGCACACGTTCAATATGAAACGGATACAATTGCTGTTCTTTAAGAATTTTAAATACAGTGAAGTTGCTTACATTCAATATGTTGGCAATTTTTCGAGTACTTGTTTCAGGTGACTCCGCAATTAACTCGAGAACTGCTTCTTCTAGTTGCACAGTTCGTACTTCTCGAGGGCGCCCACAGTCAACCGTTTGTTTCTTAAATGAACCATTTTCGCGCAAACGTTGATGAAGACGAGCAAATATTGTGTGATGAGGTACCCTACGTCCTGGATACAACTCAGCATACAATCGTCGAGCTTGCCGACCATTTCCATTACTTCGACCATAGACAAAATGCATGTCTGACAATTCCGCATTTGTAAAATTTTCCATTCTTTTCGATAAAAGAAAAATTAATTACTTATTAACACTAATGTTATAGCAAACTAAAAGCTTAATAAATTAATAATGACGAAACGCTAATTTGACATTTCTTAAAAATATTCGTATTTAACAGACAAATGTTGACAGTAGCCTACTAGGTAATGTATTAAAGAAATAAAAAATACGCGTTAAGATGTTTTATTTTTTTGCATCAAAACGGCGCCCCATACGAAGAAAAGGCAAGAGAGATTTTTTGTCACAAATTGAACGAGGAATTCAAAAATGATTTTTAATTTGTAATATCTCAGTGGCGTACCATTTTTTTCTTTAAAAAAATTGAGATTATTACCCGTACGCGCGCCAATGATGAACATAAAATTCTTAATTGCGTGTCAAAAAATGCGCAATAACTACCTCTTAAAACCCACCAAATTTCATTTGCACATCTCGACCGGTTTCAGAGCAATAAATTAAATCGTCAGTTTTTAAGAAAAACTTTGACACCCCGTATCTCGGAAAACGAATCATTTGCGGACACACGTTTATAAGCAAACTGCCATTATTTTCTCATGTAGAATCACCCCCTGAAATTTGTCGCACTTATTTACTATCACCCTGTATAAAAGAGTAAAAAATTTTATATAAACTTTTCTCATCCCAAGCACACTACTATAGTTTAAACCTTAATGATAAGCTCAGTAACCACCCACAGGGAATTTGGTAAGAATACATCTTTTTTTCATTATATAAAACTAAAATTAAAAACCAAGATTGGATCCATTGTTTTTTATGATAGCAAAACCAAAGAATCTTTATATCTATTAACATCCTTTTGTGAGGAAAACATAATTTTAGTAAATCTTTTCTGGTACTAAATGAACGTCAAAAATATATTAAAAAGTACTAAAAAATGTAATTACGTACTGAATACGCCCCTGTCTACAAGTAAAACTCCTCTCATTTACTACTCAGATCGTATCATATAATCCAATACGCGAATGGTTAAATGAGCCTAGCAACACAACGTGGCGAGCCCCTTTCGATGAAACCTAAAGAATTTGATCAGCTGCCAATCCCAATAAACAAGCAATTCGTTATCTGCACTACTCGTACGGCCAGATATTCATTCCACTGTCGATTTGAACTTATTGGAAATATCGGTGCCGTAACGGTTACCTCCTGAAGCTCCTGTTGACCTGCTGAAACGGATCGGAACCTATTTCGTTGCTGATCGGGGAACGGCCAAGCGATTGATCTGATTGGAATTGGTACTCTGCGTCCTGGATCGTGTGCGTTCGCTTCGTTGGCTTTTCCAATCCCGACAAGATGGAAACGTCAGGATAATTTTCAAATTAAAAAAAAATAAAATTAGTAGGAACCTTAGTTAACAAACTATTTATTTAAAATAAGTACAAGAGTTTAATATAAACCAAAAGAATAGAAAATTTAGGGTTTCCAGTTTGGATTGGCGTGGATTAATACTTTTATCGGATTGCCCTCTTGAGTCTTGGCGGTGTGGAAGGCTTTGAGGGTGTCCTCGAGGGTATAGTGATGGGTGATCAAAGGTTTCACGTTTATTTTTCCCGATCTGACCATCTCAATGGCTGTAGGGTAACTGAAAAAGAACACGATTTCAAATAAGGATAATAAAAACCTATTGTTAGTCTGTGTGTTAAACTTTGTATGATGTGTAAAGTGTGTCGTGACTTTGAGGTTTTGTTCAGTGCCCAAGAAAATATTAAGTTGAAAAGGAAATGGTTGTAAGCACACTAAATATAGTGTAACTAAATTTCGGATACTGTACTCTATGAACAACTTTAAAAAGATGTGAACTTCTAGCAACCTACCAAAATTAAAGTTTTTTATTGATAAGCGGTAATACTTACTCGTTGTTGTATCTAAAAACTCCCCTGATGTCTACCTCACGAATCAAAGCACTGGTCAAAGGCAATGTCATTTCAAATTTGCCCAAACCTACCAGAACTACCTTTCCTGCCGTCCTTGTTACCTAAAATAGTTAAAAGTAGGGTGCAATACATAACATGAATAACTTTTCTGGAAATATGTTAAATTTACAGCATTCTTTTCTTCAAAAATTGGATAAAGAAGATAATTAAGATTACATATATTCTGCATAATCTTCTAAATGATGAGGATAACAGTAATTGAAAACCCTGATGCAAGTAGGGATAAGTCCATAGTTTTGAAAAGATTTCTACAGATATACATTTCAAAATGTTATCTTTTTTCCTGGAGAAAATATGAAAGGCTTCATAAAAAATTAACCATAAGATAATATCACTTGATATTTATTTTGGCCATTCGTGTCTCTTAAATATTATAATTGTAGGTAATAAGTTTGCATCTAATAATTTTGTACAAGGAAAAAGATTTTGAATGTTATTATCCACTTCCTCGATTTCGTATAATATAAAAATAAATAAAGCATTCATATATCCCATTCCTACGTCATAAATGATTTTTTTTATAAGAATACTCCACTCTATGAATACCAACTTCAAAAATAAACCTTACCTGAAGAATTTACATTTTAACATACAGGGTGTTAAAAAAAGAGTGTAAAATATTTAAGGAGGTAATAGTATGAACCAAAATAAGCAGAAAAGTCGCAATAAACATGGGTCCGCAAAGTAACGGTTGCGGAGATATCGAATGTTTTATGTTTTTTAGCCCCTTTTTTTATTTTGCAAAAACGTGTATTTTCTTATAATAGTTGGTTGATGTTTAGTGAAATAAACAGTACGTATTTGACAGTTGTTCTCAGTGCACAAGTTTTCTTTCGCTATGGCTGGTTACTCTAACGCAGAATTAACAGACATGCATTTCATGTATGGTCGTGCTAATGGGAACGCCACCGAAGCGCGACGTCTTTATGTTGACGCTTATCCAAATCGCCAGATTCCTTCACAACGCATGTTTGGAAGAATTCACCAAAGATTGCGTGATACCGGTTCCTTGAGCAAACAGTGCCATTTATCCGGAAGACCAAGGTCGGTATCCACTCCTAGAGCAGAAGAAGAAATTCTAGCACTGGTAGAGCAGAATCCAGGTACGAGTGTGCGGAGAATATCAGCCGAGGTAGGAATTAGTGGTCCTCTTGTTTGGAGAATCCTTCACGAGCAACTGCTTTATCCATACCATGTGCAACGAGTACAGGCCTTAAATCCAATAAATGATCATCAAGCACGTTTGGTTTTTTGCCGCTGGTTTCTACGTCATGATGCTGAAGACCCTCGTTTTCTTGCAAACATTCTTTTTACTGATGAGGCCGGGTTCACAAGAAATGGAGTGTTTAATTTTCACAATACGCATATTTGGGCCGACGAAAATCCTCATGCTCTAATAGAATCTGGACATCAGGCACGTTTTTCATTAAACATTTGGATGGGTATTGTAGGTGACAGGTTTCTAGGTCCTGTTGTTTTACCAAACCGATTAACAGGCGCTGCTTACCTCAACTTTCTGCAGAACACACTGTATGAGTTTTTGGAAGACATTCCTTTGAATCAGAGGCAACAAATGTGGTTCCAGCATGATGGTGCTCCAGCTCATTTTTCCATGGCCGTTAGAGAGCATTTACACCAAACTTTTCCACATAGATGGGTAGGAAGGGCCGGACCTGTTTTATGGCCTCCAAGATCGCCTGATCTGAACCCTCTAGATTTCTTTGTTTGGGGATATTTGAAGACATTAGTGTATGGTACTCCTGTAAATAGCCTGGAAGAGCTGCAGCTACGGATTAATCAAAAGTGTCAAGAAATCCAAACCAAGGAGGGTGTTTTCGAAAGAGTTCGAATATCGTTGAGACGAAGATGTCGTGCCTGCTTGGAAATGGACGGAGGGCACTTTGAACATCTTCTGTAACTTTGTTTTTTGTTTGTTAAAAGCTTCCTTTGTCGGTTTATTCCTAATAAAATAAAATGTTTGAAAAACGAATAGTGGTCCATATCTCCGCAACCGTTACTTTGCGGACCCATGTTTATTAAGACTTTTCTGCTTATTTTGGTTCATACTATTACCTCCTGAAATATTTTACACTCTTTTTTTAACACCCTGTATTACTTATTCCTTTTTTGCACCAGGGTCTACAACTCTGAATAAAAAACATGTATGAACAAGAAAATATTATACAACTTGCATTTTTAGACACTAGGGATAGTAAAAGCAATACTTACTGTTAGAGCAACCCTAACAGCTTGCTCTGCTCCCGAGCAATCGAAGCTAACAGTCGGTTCTTCCCCTAATAGTTCCTTTATCTTGTTTACCACTTCCTCCTCACTAAGATTTAAGGTTTTGATGACGAAGTCGGCTCCTAACTGTTTGGCCATCTCGAGCTTGCAATCGATTACATCTGAAGATATACAAATTAAACAAATGCCTTAGATATATGGAAGAATACAGAACAATAGTTTCTAATACTGACAAAAACTGTGAAGTTACACTAAAGTCCCAAAACTGTAGGCAGTGACCCATTCGATCTGTGCGAACGGGTAAGGCATACGAGGAATGTGATTCCATAGGCGTATCATTTTTGCGGAAATTATTAAATATAGAACAACAGATATGTCTATTTTTATATTAAGAATGTATTGAGCTTTATTCTTTCTTTTATATCGGGATATATCTAGCACTTTCGCTGACATGACAAATAACCCCTGCGAAAAGTCTACTTATGTAGTGTTGCAACAGTAAGGCAATACAAAATCAGTAACATCACTAAAACTACTAAAAGTACAAACATGAATAATTAGAAATAAGATGCTATACAGACAACACACTTGACCTGACCGTTATAAGCAGTAATGAAATCACTAATTATTGTTGTCGCTATCACTATCACCGTCACTAACGCCTGAAAATATAATAAATGGTTCTCTTGTATCTTCTCTTGTAGTTGTTATTTCGTGCCACATAAGTTTTTCTTATCCGCTCAGATTAGTTCAATGACTTCAATGTGGTTCAGCTCACAATGACATTTCATCCAAAACATATTTCATGTATTTGTATATTTTCTTTTTAGGCAATTGCTAATAATTGTAGGTACTTTTAATATAGTGTCTTTATATTCAACTTGTTTTCTAGTCGACTATTCCAGGATTTCTTTTTTTCTCCATGCAGTTTTTAGCCGAGTGTGGTGAGGAGCATTATCCGTGATAATCACTGGGTCAAGTTCGATGGATGGGTGTAAACCATTTTTCATATACCCCATTGTCTATATCCTTATGGTAACCCTCTGTTCCTCGCAATTCGAACATGTGTAACGCATTATCTAAAAATGCGAATACACGTCTGACATGTGTAATTATTAATGGCCATCCTTTCCAAAAGATGCCTTTGATCCCTTGGAAAGTCCTTCTAAAAATGCTTCTGGTATGTTGTTGATATTTGTTTATCATCACGTTCTTCAACTGTTAAATTCGCTCGTTTCACTAACACACTAACTAAAATGTGAAAATTATAACACGTTTTTTTCACTTGCATGCATATAACACGAAAGGAAACGTCTAAGCGGGAAATTGACACCTTGAGGAATTAAACTATGCAGCGTTGGTCGTCTCATTTTGTACACGATAAATAAATATAGAAACGCGAGCTTGTAACAAAAGTGAATGCTGACATAAGCTACATATAATGCAAATTACAATTTCCATACGCAAAATTATTTTGTTATAAAAATTGCGACTTTATTTGTTTATTAGACTTACTGCCTGTAACTCTGATTTAGGTAAATTTGGAACTCAACCTACCCGTAACAACAACTTTTGAGGCTCCCATTGCCTTAGCGGCAAGTAAAGTCACCAGACCAATAGGACCTGCACCAAGAACCAGACAGACATCTCCTATCTTGATATTACCCTTTTTACAGGCGTGGACTCCTACTGACAAGGGTTCCATGAGGGCTCCATCCTCCAGATCCATGTTTGGAGGAAGTCTATAAGCATTGACATGAATGAAAAGAGATGTTAAAATTAACAAGGAAACTTCTAGAACAGATCCAAGAAGACTTTGCTTACTTGTAGCAGAAATCGGCATCGTGGACGTAGTATCTAGACAGATTACCGTCATCTGGAGGAGTGGCGCAGAAGAATATGTCAGGGCAAAGATGATAATCTCCTGTTTTGCAGTACCAACATATACGGCATGGTACCTGAGGTTCGATGGCTACTTGATCACCTAAAATGAGACATTATTTATGTACATTTGTTAACGAACAATTTATTCAGAAGTCAGTGAAAAATAAAATATGTCATACAGTACCCGGTGTCAGGCAATAAGTAATATATTAAAACACAAACATTGCTTGTGTATAAAAAGGATATGAAGGGTTCTATAGAGAAAACTAAGAAGATTGTATTTTCCAAGGACATTTAAATAAAGGGGACTTATTTATTTACATTTCTAGATGAAGCCTGGTCTATTCACAGTCTAATTGTATCATTGTTGTCAGTGTATACTGGAAATGTACTTAATATTTTTATCGCAATTTTCATTACAATTTTGAAAATTATTATTATAGGATAGTATTATTAAGTTATGCATACAATATTGTTAAATTCTGTACATATTAAAACTATTTTTCATTTTTCATATTTGCCATGTTTGAAGACTTGGCAACTACGCAATAATTTGTAGCGTGTTCCTCGTTCGTTCTGCCGTGGTTGACAGAATATGGCGTCTCTTAGAAAATAGTTGTGATTTTAGTAAGTGAAACGTGATTATTGTTTATACATGTATTTTGGATAAACTTTTAAGGTGTGAATATGGTTAGACAGTGCAGAATTTATAAGAAATTGGATTATAAACATCAACATCAGCTATCCTTCCACAGGTAAGCGTGCTTGAAGGTGACTTTGGAATGTATATGCAACTGTGGCCATTGTCGTGCGTGTGGGTAACTTTTATTTGAATAACGGTAGAATTTTATAAAACTGACTTAAATTTTTGCTGAAATAGTAAAACAATAATATGAACCACGTTTGGCCATTAAAATGAAAGGAAAATGCTGCACCACAAATAAGTTATAGACATTATTTATATTTAATATATTTATAGGTATTTCAATGTTATCCCTTATACCCAACATTACAAATTTTAATCATTCATCATTTTCATTTTCCTCTACGACAAAAACCTTTTCAAAAATGTATTTACAATTTTACTAAATGCACGAGCATAAAAACTGAATAAATACAACAGCAAAAATATGGTGGTGGTTCACTTATACGTAAAAATACGGAAGATGCAATCGACTGAAAGTTGCATTCATTCAACCACTTGATGTTCTCCTTTGGGAATGTATTTTTATGTCTCACTGAAAATTTGCCTCAGTATTCTAAAAGTGAAATGTGAACGTTTTTAGGATGCTTGGGGATGGTGCAACAAGAAAGAAATGGTTACAGTTATTGGGATTCCAAGAAGTTATAAAAATATTATATATATTTATTATAAAAATACTGAGTAGCTGTTGAAATATATTGACTTAGGACTATAAAATATTTTATTTTGACCCATCCAAAATGTACGACATTGGAGATGTAATCGCGCTCATCAGTTGGATGAAAATAAAGCCCTCTGCTTTCGCCTTGTCTAGCTTCACCCAACATATGAGATAGACTGTGACATGCATAGTCCTCTTTATTTAAATGTCCTTGGTATTTTCTAACTAATGATATTGGTAGCCTTATTTTTATTCAGTTTGTTGTTAATAGCGGGAAATTAGAGGCCAAATTTCAAAGAAAAACACCAAATTTTCTCAATTGTCGACGTTTCGTCACTTATCGTGACATCCTCAGGACAATTACAGATTTAAGTGCTTCACTGTGTTTTCCTAGTCTCGTTGTACATAGTATGTCATATAACAATCTTGGACAGTATAGATGGAAGATTGTTAAATGACATACTATGTACAATGAGACTAACAAAAAAACACAGTGAAGCACTCAAATCTGTAATTGTCCTGAGGATGTCACGGTAAGTGACGAAACGTCGACAATTGAGAAAATTTGGTGTTTTTCTTTGAAATTTGGCCTCTAATTTCCCACTATTAACAACAAATTGTATTTTCTTTCACGAGTAGGTGAAAATTGATCAACAAACAGATACTTCAATCAATTATCACATTTTAATGTAAATGCGATTTATATTTTGCCTACCTGGTTTGAGATTTGTTACTTTACTTCCTACTTGTACTACGGTACCGGAAGCTTCATGACCTGCAAATAAAAATTCAAGTATAATATCTAACGTTGAGGTACAAGCGAGTAATATTTAATATTACCCCAATAAAAGATACATTTAAGTTTTTTATCAAGAAAAAAGTATATTTTAATTATGTTTTGGGAAAATAAATTATTTTACAAAGTGAATTTCTACTGAAACGAAATAAAAATATTTCGCCTCAGATTTTAGTTAGGAAAATCTCTTCTGTTTCTCCAGACAGAAGAAAAAAGTAGGCACAAACTCGATTTTCGGGAACAGTTAATAGTGAAAACTGCATCTCGAAATCTAGATTCGCTTTTCATTTTTACCCCAGTTTTAATTTAACTTTTTTATTTGTGAAAATATGTTATTCTTTCAAAGAGATTTTCTATACAGCTTTCTGCGTAGAATCCATAGCGTGCGAGATATTTTTCTACAACGTCTGGTTTTAGGGTGATAACACAAACTTTTTTTAAACGAGATCCTATATATTTTTCGATTCATTATAAAACTAAAAAATTTCCACAAACAAAATAGTTATAGGGCATCATAGAAAATGGGTTCTTCAGAGTTACGGTTTTCGCTATTCAACTTTTCTGAAATATTAACCTGTATTTTTTTCTATCGTTCGAAAAATAGAAGAAACTTCTCAAAAACATCGAAATAATGTGTTATTTACCTATGACCATGGGTTTTTTGAGGACGAAAGGACCAATTCCTCCATTTACGAGGTAGTGTACATCTGACCCACAAATTCCGACAACTTCCATCTGCAAGAGGACCTCTGCAAAAGAAAATTTACTATAATATGAAAAACTAATAATTATTTACATGCCAAGATCAAAAAGTGGTAGGACGAACATGCAGGTTGAAAACCATAAGATTATTGTTTATAATATGAATAATATGACATGTGACGTTTGGGCCTAGGGCTAAATATTTTCACATAATTCTAAATTAATTTTGTCGACAACTTCAAATGTTCTCTGGGTGTTTGTCTTTATATTAGCAATGTTTATATCATCAATTACGGTCATTCGTCATTTTTATTAATTCATCTCGACGACATGCACCGCCCAAGTCAATATCTACAAAGAATTAAATTGCTAAAATGTTGAATGCATTCCACTAAAAATTATGGAAAATATCTTCGTAGCAAAATAATCATGATTGCTGTAAAAAAATTTACTTGTTTGCTTTATATTCCACAGATTTTTCCTTAGAAAAGGTATTAATATCGGAATTTGCTAATATCAATGTTCTTCTTTACATTGTCTTGAGCATTGACCATAGACTTTTTATTTGATGGCTTCTTCGAAAAATTCATGTTTTTTCATACTTTTCCTGTATTCCATTGGTAATAATTCATCATTGGCAACAGCAGCCGCTTCTTTAATATTGAATGGAATCTTTGTCACTTTCGTCAGAAAAACTGCTGACAGACAACTGTGATTTATACCTAGTTTGTTTTTAATGCAAGTTTCGAGCTCGGTAACATTAGTTTCTTCAGCTTGCATATCTTTTTACGGAGCTCTCACCTTCTTTCCGATCTAGATCAGCAATGACGCAGTTTCCGAGCTAAAAACTGATTAGATCAGAAACAGACAGCATAAAAACATCTTTAGTGATTATCTTGGAACAAAATTTGACGCAGAAATTGTGAATAAAGCCGATTATTCATTCACGCCAATGGCCTCATAAATAATTCGCAAACATGTAATTAATACGCAATATTTTTTTTGTGAATACTTCAAATTCCTCTCATAATCTGAACAACAATCAAATAAACACGTTTTCATGGATGAATATCAAGTTTTTTAGCAAATATTGACTAGTATAATAATCACTTCTGTATCGAAAGATTTGATTATGTAAGAAATATTTTTCTCGTTCAATACTCCACGAGGCATCTTGTTGATATTATTGACAATATAAGTATTCCTCAAATATCTTATCGAATTTGTAATAATACGAATTCGTATTTAATCAGTTTTACCTTTTTATAATCTAAAGTGAAAAGCTCTGATTTATCTCAATAGTCATTTCATTTTCGACAGCCACGTTGATGATTGTTTACTTTCTTTAAATAAAATAAATCTCATATGGTTTTATGGTTTAATTGGGTATTATTAGATACACAATTAATTGCGTGGGATGTTTAAAACAGTAATGGTCTTGCATAAATGATATTTAAAACAAACAACGTCTAATAATTATTTTATTTTAGTTTATTCCTAATTATCGCAACGAGACTGAAAAATGCTACAAATAAAAATGTTAACCACTATAATAACTTGTCACAGACAAGAAATACTTGGAATCTCGAATTAAACCACAATTATTCTTAGATAATTTGACACCTGAATTTGTCGAGATATTTGTGACATTTACAAATTAGCGACAAAATTAAAATTAGAATTTGAACGATTATATTATTAAAGTTTATTGGAGCAATAGAATTTAAAACAACGTATTCTTCTGAAGATGCTATAGTTGCTGCACATTTTGTAAAAACACTCTGGCCTGAGATGTCACTTTCTGTCACCGTAGAATTTCCTCGAGATTTTCCATGTAAAATCTTATTTGAAAATTGATTTTTATTTTCCACGGTCTTGCATATATCCCTTCGCCTCAGAGGACGAACGCCACACACCGTGCCTTCTAAGGCCTAAAATATATTCCTTGGTTTGCCAGAATAATGGCAGATCTCCTTCGGAATGTGTGTCTGGTATAAGTTGAGGGATCCGGTAATTTTAAGCACTGTGCAATTTTATTGGGACAACTTCCTATGGCATTTCAACCCACTGCTACTTGGTTCATGACCTTCCCATCTCGCATTGCCAAGAATAAGTGAGCTGACTGCCTGTTTTGGTCGTAGTGTAGATATTTCTCATAAAATTCGAAATAATTAACTCTCTCGTTTACTTGATTTGTTATTGTAAACGTGATATACAGTGTAGGAAAGTACCGATGGTCTATCGGAAGTTACGTGAGAGCGATAAAGTAACCCATAGAAATCCATGTGATAGACAAGGATGGCTATAATGAAGGCGTCTAATAGTCAACGCCCATTTCGCCCTTCCACAAATAAGAAGTGGATCTTATTTGTGAAAAATATTGTGGCTTTGAGCATAGAATATTCAGCCCATAAGCTTCCNTCACAACAGTCATTTCATTTTCGACAGCCACGTTGATGATTGTTTACTTTCTTTAAATAAAATAAATCTCATATGGTTTTATGGTTTAATTGGGTATTATTAGATACACAATTAATTGCGTGGAATGTTTAAAACAATAATGGCCTTGCAGAAATGATACTTAAAACAAATTATGTCTAATTATTTTAGTTTATTCCTAATTATTGCAACGAGACTGAAGAATGCTACAAATAAAAATGTTAATTACTACAGTTACTTGACACAGATAAAAAATACTTTTTTATTCTCACAATTTTACCTGGAATCTCGAATTAAACCAAAATTATACTTAGGTAATTTGACATCTTTACTGAATTTGTCGAGATATTTGTATGTGTCGTTTACAAATTAGCGACAAAATTAAAATTACAATTTGAACGATTACTGAAGTTTATTGGAGCAATAGAAATCGGAATTCAAACAACGTTCTCTTCTGAAGATGTTATTATTGTTTGAAAATTGATTTTTATTTTCCACGGTTTTTGATATATCCCTCAGCCTCAGAGGACGAACGCCACCCACCGTGCCTTGTAAGGCCTAAAATATATTCCTTGGTTTGCCAGAATAATGGCAAATCTCCTTCGGAATGTGTATAAGTTGAGGGATCCGGTGATTTCAAGCACTGTGAAATTTTATTGGGACAACTTCCTATGGCATTTCAGACCACTGCTACTTGATTTGTGACCTTCCCAACTCGTATTGCCTAGAATAAATGAGCTGACTGTCTGTTTTGGTCGTAGAGGTAGATATTTCTCATAAAATTCCAAATAATTAAATCTCTCGTTTCCTTGATTTGTTATTGTAAACGTGATATACAGGGTCGGAAAGTCTAAATGGTTCATCAGCCGTTACGTGAGAGCGATAAAGTAAGTCATAGAAATCCGTGAGATAGAGAAAGATGGCTATAATGAAGGCGTGTCATAGTCACCACCCGTTTCGCCCTTCCACAAATAAGATCCACTTCCACTTGTAATTCAGCGACTGGTGGTCATTTTTGTTTTCGTCGTTTGGCTTTTCTTTAATAGATGTCACTACTTATACAATTTCGACTTCGGTATTCCGATATGTTAATACCATCCGTTAACAGAGGGCTGCACAACGCGTAACAAAGAAAACTTTTTACAGTAGCTAGTAGATACCTCTGTTTGTAAATATAGTGACCTTGTTTCCCTACTGAGAAGTTATTCAAATGGAGTATAGTGCTCAGCTGCATTTAAAGTTCATTTAGTTGTTATTTAAGTATACTTTTTAAAATGACTTAAAAATCCCAAGAAATAAAGCAAAATTCCCTATTTCCCCAATTCCAAAAAAATCTGTAGATCTGGCATCACTCTTTCTAGGGCTGCGCCTCACCTTAGACAAATTGTGCTGCCCTCTGTTAACGGATTGTATTAACATATCGGAATACGAAGTCGGAATTGTATAAGTAGTGACATCTATTACAGAAAAGGCAAACGACGAAAACAAAGATGACCACCGGTCGCTGAATTACAAGTGGAAGTGGATCTTATTTGTAGAAGGGCGAAACGGGCGGTGACTATGAGACGTCTTCATTATAGCCATCCTTCTCTATCACACGGATTTCTATGACTTACTTTATCGCTTTCACGTAACGGCCGATGTCGGAAATATTTACTACATATTATAAATGCACTTTTATCTTCAATGTCATTTATTTCCATATTATATAGTTCTTCCCTTCTGCATGCTCCTGCTACCTATTCCAAATATCATTCCTACTTTTATATTTAAATAGAATTCATCAGACAAATTATTTAAAAACTTGCACAAGTATTCTCTGGTTAAGATTCTTGAATTTTTCACTTCCTTGTCCAATATTTTTCCTCTTAAGAAAAGCAGTTAACGTAGCATACTTTGAAATTATCAACAGCTTCATGCAAAAATATTGTGGCTTTGAGCATAGAATATTCAGCCCATAAACTTCCTGGAGACTTTACGGTTTTATTTCTTGAAACAAAATAGGCTAGCATTACCTGCTCTGTGATATTTTCAAAATTTTGCTTGTTGCATCAATCTGTAAATAGCTTGAAGATTTTCTCATATCTCTCTTTGGACTTCTTGGGAATTCAGGCTGGGCATCCTACTTGCCAAGCGTTTTCTAAGTCTGAATCGTCACTTTCTTGAATCATAACTTACAAGAAGCTTAAAATATTTTATATCTAATGACAGCAGATGATGTCACAAAGGAATCAAAGAGAAAATTTTGTCTTGTACGACTTGTTTGTTTTATATGTTCTTAAAATATTAAATTTTTTGACCTTAATACTTAATATACTATATTATTATTTACTGAAACTGTATTTTACGGTAGGTACTTACGATTGTCTTTTGGTACAGGAACTGGCCTCTGCTCCTATAAACGAAAAAAAAAGTTACTTTAGATTTTGTTTTGAGAGTTTAATTATGCAAAAAAAAGTCATTATGCTTCAAATAAAAATCATAGAAAATCATTTTGACACATTTTGGACTAGAATCCTTTAACAATAGTCATCCGTTGTTTTCATAACATGTACTTATTTTCTATCCCCTATCATAACACAAATACATTAATTATGAAACTGTGTATTAAGCACTATTATTATTGCTTGATAATCATTATTTACCTAACGTATTTTGTTTGCTATTTACAAGATGAGAAATAATATTTGTCACGATATCAGTACTTAAGAATTAATTAATTAATTAGCCTCTTAAATTGCCCAAATAAGTACTTATAAAGATTAAGTACCAAAATACAACACGGATTTAAATAATAAATATAATATCTCAGATGGAACAATTACTTAACCCCCTCGCGCACCTCTGATATAAGTAAATTATAAAATGACAGTACGAGATAAACACGGAAAAAAATAAATTATTTTTTATATTAGTTAACGATAAAGTGACAAAATATACTAAAATCAATATATTCAGTTTTTCAAAAGCAGTAAAAGATAAAATAAAAATAAGTAAACAAATCAACAATTATTATAGATCAGATATAACCTACATACAGGGATGGCTAGAAGTACGGAATAAAATTCATATCTTTTGAATGAGTAAATTTTTTTTAAAACGCCTAAACACGTTAACTGATTTTGATTTTTTCTCCATCTTTCGGTTATATAATAATTAATTTTTAAGCCATGAGGGGGCTCGTTGAAAAGCTTATAGAAAACTGAATCCAGCCATACCAAATAAACAAGTTTTATTTTTTCAATAGCAAGTTTTTTTTCATTTAGAAATTGAAACAACTAGATAATTTACAAAAATAAACTCAATTTCGCAAATGCTGAAAATGTCCTCCATTCACTATTTGGCATTCTCCAAAACGATAGTAAAAGCTGTCCACAGCATTCTGAATGACTTCAGCTGGTAAATTATGCATCTTCGCCCTAATCTTGTTCTTTAAATTCTCAATATTATCCGGTCTGTCCTGGTAGACTCTTTCTTTCAAATATCCCCAAAGAAAATAATCCAGGGGTGTTAAGTCGGGGGATCTTGGCGGCCATTCAACTGTACCCCGTCTACCAATCCAGCGATTTGGAAACATTTCATCTAAGTATCTTCGAACATCAATACCAAAATGTGGGGGAGCGCCATCTTGTTGGAACCAAATTCTTTCATTCGGTATATCTGGATCAATTTCATGAGGGAAAATCACAGCTAGAGCAGGTATCAGGTCAAATGTTAGGAAATCCAGGTAGCGTGCGGCAGTAAGATTTTCTTCAAAAAAGAATGGGCCCAAGATTCTGTTGTTGATGATACCTGCCCATACATTAACTTTTTGTGGATGCTGCGTATGCGATTCGCATGTCCAGTGTGGATTTTCCTGGGACCAAAAGCGATAGTTGTGCCTGTTAACCACTCCATTTAAATAAAACGTAGCTTCATCCGAAAAAAGTACGTCTCGTTGAAAACCATTATTGTCGTCACACCGTCTCATCATTTCCTCACAAAATTGTAATCGCCTATCATAATCGTCTTCCAAAAGCTCTTGGACAAGACATACCTTATAGGGGTGGTATTTCTCTTGTTTCAGAAACATTCGAATTGCAGTTCGAGAAGCATCGTGATTGCGGGCCAATGAAACAGTTGAAGTATGAGGATTTTCAACAAGTTCTAATGCAATGTCTAATTTCTTTTCTTCATTCAAAGCACGTGCCCGTCCAGTTTTGGGCAAAGTCTGTACTGTACCGTGTTCCTCAAATTTGTGAAATATTTTACTAACTGTCCCTTGCGAGATTTGGTTTTCGGGATATTTCGCATTAAATAAATCGCGCACTTCAGCCTGACTTATTATTTTGTCTCCACATCCAAGCAATATCAAGATTTCGATGCGTTGTCTTTCCGACAATACCATTGCAATTCAGTAAATAACTTGATTTTGACACAATAGTAACTTTTCAAACTCCAATTTACAACTAAAGCGAAAAATTAACCAGATAGTCTGGCAAATAAGTGGTACCAAAAAAACGCGCCATAAAAAATATATCTTTTTTGCGTTAGCAGTGATAGGTACAGTTTCAAATTCTTTATTTTATTCTGTGCAAATTCATGGAGAATAACACTGAAGACTGAAGATAATTAAATTTTATTTCACTTGTTAAGTAAGTGTTTTATACAACCCTAAAAACCTTGCTATTGAAAAATAAAACTTGTTTATTTGGTATGGCTGGATTCGGTTTTCTACAAGCTTTTCAACGAGCCCCCTCATGCCTTATGTTTCCATTTGAAAAAAAAAGTAGGGGTAGCTGGGGGTTAGGGGGTTGAAGAAAAATTAATTATTATATAACCGAAAGATGAGAAAAAATCAAAATCAATTAACGTGTTTCGGTGTTTTAAAAAAAATTAACTCATTCAAAAGATATGAATTTTATTCCGTACTTCTGGCCATCCCTGTATATTAATTATTATGATTACTCGACGCCTTCTGTCACAAAACGCACATTGCTTTATAACTACTGACAGAAAGCAACGTACTAATCTGTAGATACTATGGTAACATGATTAGCGGCGCGCTAGGCGAAATAAATTTTTGAACTAATGATATTGTAGGAAACTACTCTGCTGACTGCTGACTACAGACACCATTCAGAATTGAATTACGCCTCCGCAATATCTAGAAAATGTTTAAGATCATTCGTCAACAGTTCTCAATAGTATACCATAGAGGAGGCGGTCGACGTATTTTGAGTGTGGGTGACATATAACCTACAAGGTATGACATATCTACTCAATACCTGCTAGTATTACTTTATACCTACTTCCAAAGAGCGAATAATAATAACTAATATTATTAGTTAAAAAGTTTATTTCGTTTAATGCAACACTAATATCTCGTAGTATCTACCTAGATTAATAGGTCGGTCTTTGCCAGTAGAATGCCCGCAGAATATTTTTTCCCCATAATTCATATCAAGCGAACGATATTGCTGACGAGATTAACAGCCTATCGATTTGAAAAACAATTCTGCTTATGTAATACAAAACGTTATGGTAATAATAATAAATTGACAACAGGTATAACATGCCTCATCAAATCAGTACATGTCTCATAGAAATTATGTGAAATCACCAACGTGACCACCTAAGACTGACCTTGGATTGCTTACAAATCAGGTACACTGGTTTGAATATATTAGATCTTTAATAAATGTTAAAAGGCATTAAACAAACAAATTTTCACAGGTAAAAGTTGTCTCTTCAAAGAAAGCAGTTTAAAGTCTAATTAAACACTCGCTATATAAAAAAAAATTGCAAAAGAACTGCATGTAACATATTTCTAAACGTATCTGTCCGTCCATGTGTTTTTTCCAAAACATATTTTTTACTTTTGGTTTGAAACTGTATTTCATAGATGCCCTGTATGATAGTATTTAAGCGGCACCACTACATTTTAATAGTAAAAACAACGAAATAAAAATGTAATGTATCCGTAAGCAAGCATGAACTAACGACGAGATAACATTATATCTACAACACATGTTATCCAATATTTACAATAATAATTTCTCTTAACTTCCACACTATTATCATGATTTTTTTCTGTATCTTTGAAACGCTTTAACATGTGTTAAGGTTATCGTGCCAAAGTTGGAAAAGTTTAATACGACATGGAACTCATATGTTCGCTTAACTTTCATAATTCTAACGGATTAGAATTTTTATAGATGAGACAGTTGCAGATGTTGCTAACTTCCCATTCGTTTTGAATATCGCACTTCATAGAGTTTTTAAAAAATTCGTGTAAATGTTTTGAAATGTTTCTAATATATTATTATTGTGGAAGTCTTGATAGTTCTAATTAGGCGTCTATATTTGACATTATCAGCAATACGCGTATTCAATATAATGGGGAGCAGTACCGTACGTAAAGACAATTATTTTAACATCAAATTATAATAAAATTCTATATTTTGCTAAACCATTTCTTACAATGAAACATTCCAACCAGAGATACAAAATTTCCGGAAAATTGGTGTGTCGGAAAAAATAGAAAGAAAACCGAAATAAATCGGAAATTTTGAACTTGATAACATTTAGGATATAAAAAAACAGCCTCAGAATTTACTGTAATAAAGAAATCGTCAGAATATTTTTTGCTTTTATAGAGGCTGCTAATCATATTGCTCTGGAAAGGAACCACATGGAATTGAAGAACTTCCTTTTACTGAATATGCAAAATAATATTTTTTATTCATGATTTGATTTTATATTTTGCTTTTATTTTGAATTTGGTTAAAAACACTTTAAGAATTAATATTTTTTCATTTGATTGTTGAATAATTCAGATTTTCTTCTTTTTAATCTTGTAAATATAAAACATTATACTTGGCTTTTGTTGATTTATGCTTGAGCTCTACCAATTTGAGATTTGAGGCAATATACAGGGTGATCCATTAAGAGTAAGAAGCGGCTGTATATAGGAAACTACGATTATGGGGTAAAAAATGACGGCCAAAAAATATTGTACGTACATGTAAATATTATTTTCATTTTAAAATGACGTAATTAATTTGACCTTTATTTATTTTTTTATTTAATGATATAAAAACCAGTAAGGTGTGTAAAAAAGTTTACTATAGCATCTCAAAAAACAGTGATACACCGAGGAAAATCGCCATTGCAATCAATAGGTTGTTTTATGTCTATAAAACTAGTTCTACAAACAAAAACGTTACAAAACAAAATAAAAAAGATATTTTGCAGTTTTTTTTATCATGGTGTACGTTACTGATGGCGAGATATGGGTAATTCCTCGTGTATGATAAATACCATTATACAGGGTGATCCATTAACGGTATCGAGCGGCTGTATATAGGAAACTAGACGTGTTACGATTATGGGGTAAAGAATCTATTAACAAAT